CCTTCCCAATACCATGACCCAGTCTTCCTCCGGATTCTTCACCCCAAGTAAAAATTTCACCTTGACGTGTCACAAACGCAGCATGCCTGACACCACAGGCAATTTGATGAACATCCAGAACAATATTTGACTCCAATGGCTTCGGCACAAGTACATCCGTTCTCGTGGTTAGATAGCTTGCATTTTTATCAATCCCCACCTTAACGACATTGTCACATATAACCTCACCCCAAATGTAAACGTCACCTAGAGCATCAGAGTCATCTGCTGCAGAACCGTGACTAGAACTACTTTGAGCACTAGAGACACTAACCCGAAAACCATCTGAACCAGATACCTTTGTTTGCATATTTTTGGTGTCCAATGCAACATGTGATTTCTCTAAATCAGTTGAAGGAACCTCAGGCTCAACACTCTTAGGAGAAACAATTGGATCGAAATTAAACGGAGTCCCAGGAGAGCTGTGACTCCGTGAAGCACTGGCAGAACTGCTGCTTGGACTGCTCGATGTCAAGTCTCTACTGGCCTGAAATATATATAAAAGACTCAATTGGAGTAGTTCAACAGACCAAAACGCTGACGACATACATATTGTCCTTGCATGAATACTTACATCAACTGTAAGGTTACCGCCACTCCAACCATCGATTTTTGAGCGTCCGCCTTGCCCAGCCGATATCAATGTTTTAAGGCCTCCAATCCAAATTTCAGCCTCAACCTTGTCCTTACAAATCTATTAAGAAGTAAACTGTTATGCCTGAAGTTATTTTCAAGTGTTCTTGAAATTATGGTCCAAATATCAGTTTTACGATGACTAACCAAGTCAAGAGACTTCTTTTTTCCGTTGTATAAGAGAGAAAAAGATAAGTAATCTTTCTCAGGGCGAAGATAACGCTGGAAAACAGCCTATTGCAAAGATTAAACGGGTTACTAGATATGCTTGAAAGCCAAGAGGTATTCTTAATCTTTCAAATATAAAGACTGTACAGAAATGAAGATATCTTACAGTTCTTTGCCCAGGTACAATTTTAGATACAGAAGCTAACTTTAGTCGCTTTTCACCGCTACTCGATATCCAGATCAAAGACTTTTCATCCTACACAACCAACAAGTATAATTTCCTCAGATAAAGCAATTGTCCCCAAAACAATAAGTGGTTGAGCAGACAGTAACTCACACTAGACAATCTAAAAGGATAAAACTTTGGCTTTCCTTTGCGACCATATTTCAAAAGTTGAGTTCCTTTCTTCAATGTAATCAATGCCTGCCAAAATGAACAAGAATTATCCGCTTGAGAAAACGAGAACTAGCTACAAGTATCATCAAGTAATCAGTCTCATTGCTCATTTTACATAGAAGATGATTCAAAAACAACAATCTGACTATAACCCTATAGCTTACAATGTCAAGGTCCTGCTTTTACCATAAGCCTCAAGAGTTCACTAGGAAAAAAAACAGATTCAACACACAAGCAATCTAAGGACAAATTCCAAGAAATGAAAACAGAGACTTGAGATTTGCTTAAATTTTCACAATTTGAACAAACAAAACTCCAAATTTTCCAACTTGGGGCTTAGAAAAAAAAACTCTTGACAAGTGAATCCCAAACTAAGCAAATCGAAAAAGGAGACAAACCTGTTCAATGTTTTGGTCAGCATTACTACTATAGGTCACAAGATCTGCCATTCCATGTGAAATACTCACAAGAACACCACCACCCTCTTCGATCCTTACACGAAGGACCGTTCATCATCTATAAACAAGATCACCGGAGATTGTAGCCGCCGTGAAAACCATCAAAACAAAACCCACCGGTGAACCACTTGATAGAGATAGAGAGAGAAAGCTTAAGACTTCAAAGATGGCACTTGCTCTTTCCGCTTAATTGACCTCACAGATCTAACGAAGCTTAATCAAAACCGAAACTTTAAAGCTACACGAGTTTCAGAATTTCCCCTAGAGCCCAAAATTTGATCTTCGCAAGTGGTGTGCTTTAGTAAAGCAGTGACGAAACAATTCGACTCTCCGGCGAAACAAAGCACGAACTTACCGGTGAAGAGAGAAAAATCCGGCGGAGAAAAACGACGGAAAGAAGCAAAAAGGAAGGAGGAAGAAGACAAGGAAGTCAGAGACAGCGATGACAGAGACAATAGAGAGAGAAAACGGTAAAATACGAACAAAATAAATAAAGGGAAAAAAGAAAAGAAAAAACAGTTTCTTTCTTGGAATTATTAAATAGTACTTTATTCTGTTTTATTTATTAAATTCACAAATTATAAAAAAAATAGGATGGATCCCTATGAAAACTCTATTGAGGCTAGTGAAAAAAAAAAAAATGGTAAAGAGGCATTCCCCATGCAATCTATAAATTGTTAATTTAAAAAAAAAAAAAATTGATTGTTTGGGCTAAGCAATTTTAATTAATTATTGTTATTCGGTATTGGGATACATCGTATCCGTATTTCGTATATAGTTTAGAGCTAACGACAGAATCCACAAGGTCAACTAAACCGACTTGTAATCGGTTTTGAAAACACTTTTTGATTAGCATTTGTTTTAGGTAAATTTGTATTTGTTTAAACAAGATAATATTGACTTTCTTTGTTTTATACTTGAATATATCATTTGTGTAGTCCTTACCATTTTAATTTGACTCGTAAATTCGTAATCAAATTCCAATTTTCGCTAGTGGAATTTTCTTAGCCTAGTGGTAAAAGGATAGAATGCTTTTACACCAAATTTTGAATTTGATTCTCATATTATGTAGTTGCTACAAATTAATAGATTAAAGTTTATCGGAGAGATTCGAAAATATTACAAGTAAAAAAATATATATCGTGATTTTATGTATTACGAAACTTAGATAAATAAAATACATATATATGTCTAAAACTAGTGCTTTGAGATTGAGAGAGTAATTCCGGTTTAGTTCAAAGCGCGGTTTACTTTAGGCCGATTCAATGTTATCCGGTTTAAATCTCACGCGAGGAGATTGGTGCTATAATGGTAATTTACCAAGGAGGCTTGCTTTATACTTTGCCTCAGTCACGTTGAACGTTGGTTGCCAGTTGCTGTGAAAAGACAAAAACACCCCTATAGGCTTCAAAATGGGCCCTTTTGGTCTGGTGCTTCCCCTCCACATTTCGAGGAGTTTAGTCGAGGAGAATGTATCACTTTTTGGTGAAAACAATAATAGTGCATCTCCCA